AAAGGACAATCTTTTCAGCAAATGGTTTTGGGAAAATTGGCTATCCATGTGCAAAAGAATGAAGTTGGACCCATACTTTACATTATATGAAAATTATCTCAAAATGTATAGACCTAAAACTATAACACTCTTTAGAAGAAAACATAGAAGGAAAGTTTCATGACACTGGATTTGATAATGATTTCTTGGATATGACACCAAAAGCACAAGCAACAAAAATAGAGATAGTTTGGGCTATATCAAAATTTAAAATTTTGGTGCATCAAAGACACTGTCAACAGAATGAGAGGGCAACCCACAGAATAAGGGAAAATATTTTCAAATCATATACCCAATAAGTGGTTTGTATCCAGAGTTTATAAAGATCTCCTACAACTCAACAACAACTACCCAATTAAAAATGTGCAAAGGACTTAAACATAAATTTCTTTAAAGAAGATATACTAATGGCCAATAATCAGATAAAAAGATATTCAACATCACTAATAATTAGGGTAATGTAAATGAAAACCAAAATGATATTCCATTTCACACCCATTAGTATAGCTATTATTAATATGTTTTTAAAAAGAAGAAAACAGAAAATCACAAGTGTTGTTAAGGATATAGATAAATTGAAACCCTTGAACACTGCTGGTACACTGGAATGTAAAAGGATGCAACTGCTGTGAGAAACAGTATGGTGATTCCTCAAAAAATTAACTGTACAATTAGTATATAATCCAGTAATTCCCCTTCTGATAGGAAATACAAAGCAGGAACTCAACTAATATCTGTACACCCATGTTCATAGCAACATTATTCACAATAGCCAAAAGGTAGAAACAACTCAAGTGTTCATCAATGGATGAATGGATAAACAAAATGTGGTTTATATATATAAATGGAATATTATTCTGTCTTAAAAAAGAAGAAAATTCTAACACATGTAATAACATGTCTGAACCTTGAAAACATCATCTAAATGAAATAAGCAAGTCACAAAAGAGCAAATACTATATGATTCCACTTATATAAGGTACCTAGAGTGGTCAAATTCATAGAGGCAGAAAGTAGAATGGTGGTTGCCAGGGTCTGGGAGCAGGGGGAAATGGAGAGTTAGTGTTTAATAAATACGGAGTTTGAGTTTGGGAAGATGAAAATGCTCAAGTTGAAGGATGGTGATGGTTGTACAACAATGTGAATGTCTTTAAAGCCACTGAACTGTGCACTTAAGAATTGTTAAGATAATGAATCTTATGTTATGTCTATTTAACCACTGCTTTAAATATATATATATATATATATATATATATATATATATATATATACACATATATATTTAGCAAACCAAAACTAACAATGCATAAAAAAACACATGGCCAAGTGGGATTTATCCCAAGTAGGAAAGGCTGGTTCGACATTCAAAACTAAGTCAATGTAATTCACCATTTCAACAGGCTAAAGAAGAAAAATTATTTGATCACATCATTTGACAGAAAAAAAGCATTTTACAAAATCCAACATCCACTTGTGATTAAAAAAAAAAAAACCTCACAGGGCACAATGGCTCACACCTGTAATCCCAGCACTTGGGTTCCACGAATTTATGGGTGTGATAAAATGACATCCAACTACACTTGCACAGTTACACGTTGCTTAATGATGGAGATGTGTTCTGTTAGGCGATTTGATGGTGGTGGGACATCACAGAGTACACTTGCACAAGCCTAGATGGTATAGCCCTGCACATCTAGGTGATATGGCATAGCCTATTGCTCCTAGGCTACAAACCTGTACAGCAGGCCACCATACTGAATACTGTAGGCGATTGGAACAGGGTAAGTGTTTGCATATCTAAGCACGTCTAAACCTAGAAAAGCCAATGTGTCTCACTCTACACCATTATGACAGCTATGACATAATGGCAGTAGAATTTTTCAGCTCCATTACAATCTTATGGGCCCACTGTCATACACACAGTCCATTGTTGACCAAAACATGTGCTATAATTACATAAGAAGCGACCAGGGGAAACTGGGGAAAGGGTACATGGGTCTTCTCTTGTACTATCTTTGCAACTTTCTGTGGATCTGTAATTCTATAAATAAAAAGTACACACACACACACACACACACACAGAGTCACACAAATCCCTAGGGAGCAGAGCAGGCTCTGTTTTGATGGAGAGGACCTGGTATCACAATAGTGCAAACAGCCTCACATGCAGCAGCTTGGCTTCCCTTTACAGCATGTCCACTTTTAAAACGTTACTCATTGGCCACTGTCCTTCCTGCACTCATAACACACAAAGTCAGCAGCCCTGGTCTTCCCCGCCCCGTCCCGTCCCTTGCTAGCTCCTTTCCCTCCTACCACAGCTGTGCTCTGCAGTGACTTTCAACTCCACCTGTCCCCTCCCACTCTTCTTTCCCTTCTCTGCCTTGGGTCCCCAATCGCACCCCAGGCCTCTGACCCCACCACACTCACTACACAACAGTTGGCTTAGAGGGAATCTAAGCGGGAGTCCCAGAGGAAGGGCATGCCAATATCAAGCCTACAACAGGCAAAGCGAGAAGGACTTCTGCAGACCAGCCAGGAAGGAGGGGTCATAGCCCATCAGGTGGCCACTTCCAGGCACACCTGCTTCCCAGGCCACCCACATTCCCTCCCAGGGAGCCTGGTACCCTCGAGTGGGCTGGCACCCTGGCCACATGGCTGCTGCCAGCCAAGGAACCCCCACTGTGCCTCAAACAGCCCCCAGGGCAGAACCAGCTCCCTGCAGCTGGGGACAGGGAAGTCACAGCACCCAACTCTCACAGAAGCCTTTCTGGGCTCCTCTGTCTCTCACCTGCTGTGCAGCATGGAGAAGCAGTTGGAGGAGGCCAGAGTCTTAGAGCACCAGGGCTTGGGGGTGCAGAAGGGTTCTCTTTCCCAGCAGGAGGCCAAGGCTGGAGGAGCTGCAAGGAAGGGCCTCCTGGGAGGCCAGATGCAAATAGCCTCTCTCCCTCCCCTCTCCTCCCTGTCTCTCTCCCTTCCCTACATCTTTTTCCTTTCCTCTCTCCTTTTCTTTCCGCCTTTTCCTTCTCTCCTCCAAGGCACGTCAAGGCTGAGCAGAGCTGGCAGATCAGCGAGTGTGTCCTCACCTGGTCACCTCACCCTGCTGGCCCCAAGGCCCTGCTCTCCCCTGCCCTGTTCCTGGCTCCCAGCCTCTGGCCACCCTGGGCAGCCCGGCCCAGCCAAGGCCAGGCTGTTTTGGAAAAGTGCAGGGAGGTGGCAAAATGTGCGGTCTGCGCGTTCCCTCCAAACTGGCGCCCCAATCCCTGGACAAACAGATCCGTGTTTGTCTGTCCACAGCGGCCTGTGTTCTCCTTCCAGGCCAGGAGATCCCGGGGGCAGGCGGCCGTGTAGAGAACCGGCAGTCAGGCGGACGTCATTGACCCAGGGGGACCACGGCGGCGGAGAGGCAAGGACAGGCTGTGTGCTGGGCCAGCCGCCCACCCACCCCGCGGCAGGGTGGTCAGGCCAAGGGCAGCCCAGGGACCGTGCCTCCTTCACCTCTGCTGCCACACAGGACATTCCACCGCGACAGATGGAATTCACACTCTGAGAAACGACCGCCCTTCCCTGGCGTGCTTCCCGTGCACGCGGACGCTTTCCGCTGCTCCTTTCTGGTGCCCGGGGCTCCTGTCTGAGGCGGCCCCTTGGAGCGGGCACGCGCGGGGCAGGGCGGGCTGCCAGTGTGGCCTTGGGAAAGTTGCTGCCACTCTGAGACTCTGCTTTATCTTGTGGAAAATAGGGAAATGGCCCCTGCCCTGCCCTGCCCTGCCCTGCCCTGGGGAAAGTGAGGGCCAGGGTTGGGGTCAGGCTGGCCTAGCGGCCCAGGCACCGTGGGAGGGGAAGGTGAAGCGGAAAGGCCACGCAGGGCAGATGAGCTGGCGACCAGAGTGGCTGAGCGTCCTGCCCTGGTGGCATTGCTCAGATGCTGGGTAACTCTCTTCTGGGTGGCCGGGCTCTGCGACCCAGGCAGGGTAAGGCCCTGCACCCCGGGGTGTGCCTGGGCCCAGGTGCTCTGGGTCGAGGTGCTCTGGGCCGAGACTGGGTCCAACTGACTATATTGAAAAGAAATGGTACAGCCACAAAAAGGCTTTTCTCCTTTCACCAGCAAAGGGGTGGACTTTACCTCCCAGACTATGGGGAGAGGACCAGGGCATGCATGGCAGAGGCTGGGACCAGCCTCGACTCTCTGCCGTCTTTCTGGGCCCCAGCGTGCAGCTCTGCCTCACTGCCCTCCTCCCCACCCACAGGCCCTGGAACCACCTTGCACCTTGCCTGTCTCAGCACTGGAGGTGGTGCCCTTTGTTGTCACCTCGGGCCTCAGTAACAGTCAGGCTGTGGAGATTTCTGTAAAAATGTGATAATCAGCAAAGGAGGATGAGGTTTCAGTCCTCAGATAGGCCTGGAGAGTGCTGCAGCCTGTATTCACCCTTCACTGTGCTGCCCCTTACGCTACACATCCTGGGGCTCCAGGTTCTGACAAGGCCTGCGAACTTACTTGATAACTGGAATCTACTTGATCCTGCAACAACCCTGGCACAGGCTTTGAGAAGTGCTGGCATGGGGCGTGAGGCAGGAAGTCAGGGGAGCCGAATCCTGCTCTCCAGTTTGCGATGTGGCTGTGGACCTCAGTGTCCTCAATTTGACAGGGTGGGCTCTGAAGACAGGCCCTCAGAACTCTGTGTCACCATGTCCAGCCCTGAGACACCTGGGACAGCCAGTCACGGCCACACTCACCCAGGTGAGTGGCCTCCCAGCTGTCCCACCCCCCACCAGGCTGAGCAGTTGTATCTCTCCCTCACCAGGGGAACCCACTCCTCCCGGGACCCCGTACAGACTTCTCTGGCCTCGAGGGACAGAAGAGCTTCCTAGTGGGCAAGCTGGACTGGGCATCGCCAACGTGAATGCTGGGAGGACCCTTTCAGTAAGGCCCAGAGGGCAGAGACCAGAGAGGCAAAGGAGACGAGTGTGAGTCGCCACGGTTTATTATGGAAGCCTATAAAAGAGCTATATCGAGTATTTCCAAAAATCACAAAATGCACAACATTCATTTTTTAATATGCAACGTGGAATATTATATACAGATTAAAACCACATGACAGCAAAAAACACTCATACGGCACCAGATTCATATCAAAACAACACACACAAGTGCTTTTTCAATATTAAAACAACTGTGATAAAAACATATTAATATTTTGAACCATGTTTACAATAGAGAAAAAAATTCATATTTTACTAAATAAAACAAATATTTAACAGCAAAAACTTTATACTAAATATCTATTTTGAATTATAACAAAAATAGTACTTATAATAGTTTATAAAGACAGACACAAAATTATAACATTTATGAAAAAAAAAAAGTCTTGTGTATAAAATAATATTATAGCGATCTGGGCAGGGGCGGGGTGGTGCCATGAACACAAACGCCAGCGCCCAACATCAAAAGTGCTTCAATCTGCAAGCCCAGGGCAGGAGGAGTTTTGTGGGGGTTTTGTCTTTTTTAATATCAAGTTACAATAGTTAGGAATGGTGAGAAAACATCACACATCTAACACGAGCTCTATGAAACACACACGCAAACACACGGACACAGATACCACAATACAGATCTACCGAGCAGAGGCGCAGGAATGGCAAGGGGAGGGTGCTGTCGGCCGGCCAGAGCTCTCTGTAGCTCTCTTCCTGTTGCCTTTGAGGCCCAGCGGGGCAAGTGATCCTTCTTTCCTCCCTTACAGGGGTCCCCAAAGCTTTTCCCTCTCTGCACCCCCCAGGCTGGCACCCCAAGGGAAGGCCCTAGGGGCCTCCCAGAGCCCTCTAGCCCCTGCCCGTCCCCAGGGCCACACCCAGAGTGCTCCCCGAGTGAAGTTGCACTTGCTGCCTGCCCTCCTAGTCAGGCAAAAAACACCTGGCTCAGGGCTAGGCGGATCACTTTAAAGGAAAAAGAACCTTCCAGACACTGGGCGTTTCTGTGGGTAACAGATTCTGGTACGCCATGCAGCTATTTTGCAGGCTTTGACGAGTCTTTACACATTTTGGCCTGTTTTACAGAATTGGGGGGAGGTTGGAGGGATCTTACTAATTTTTTAAAAAATTTCTAACTATTTTTGTCAAGAATGTCTGTTCGACGCTGATTTTTAGTAGTGAAAAGCAGGACGCAAATGAAACACTTGAGACTCGGGGGTTACGGAGCGGTCTGCGAGGTGTGCCCCCATTCCTACAGAGTCTGCTGTCAGACGGGGCGGGCTGGGGTCTGCCGTGGGGCTGCCCACTGGCCCCTGCCGGGGCGCTGAGCTGCTCGCAGCAGCAACTGGGGAATCGTCAAGTCCAGCTTTCTTCTTCTGTGCTTTCATTTTCTCGGAAAAGAGGACTCACTTATGACATCAAAACCCAATAGAGAAACATGGAAAGCAAAGAAAAATTTAAAAACAGACAAAATTGCTAGAGACTTGCCAAACGCCCTCAGACCATCTCGGGAGGCACCCCAAAACTGCCAACACTCAGAATGCCAGTGGCGGGAGCTACTCCTCTCTCCCCCAGTCATCCAGACTCGCCAGCTTCAACCCAATCCCTTCTGACAAATGGCACGTACCCTCGTCCTCAGCTCTCTCGGGGCTCTCCCTGCAGCCTGCCCTGCAGCTGCTCAAGGCCACATGGGCCTCGCTGGAGGCAGGGCTGCCTCTGCACTCACCTCCCCCATGCCTTCATCTCGTCCCCACTCCCCTGAGCTGGGCTAAACAGACAGTGGCACAGAGTAGAAGGGACTTCAAGGGCACCTTTCCAAGGGCTAAGGGCACAAGGTAAGGGGCAAGGAAGGGCAGACAGGGGCCCACGCCCCCCACCAGCAGAAAGAACCCATATCCTGCCCTGTACTCACTAGCCGGAGCAGGAGGCACTGGGTGCATAGTGGCTAAGCAGGGAGCCATGGCAGCCTCCAAATCTGCATGATCAGGGTTTTGACAGGACGGGGTAGGTGGCAATAGGCCATGGCCCCATCCCCCTCGAGGGGACAAGACAGAGGGGCTGAGTTTCAGCCTAGGAGTGAGGCTCTGAGGTTGAACTCAAAGTCTGGAGCCTGGGAAAGCTGCCCCACTGTGGGCCAAGGGGGCTGGGTTTGACCAGAGACCCCTTCCTCTCCACTCGCAGACGTCTTGCCTGGAACAGCTGGAACGGGGCTGGGGATGGAGGAGATGTTTGCTCCAGACCCCTGCATTGCTGAGATTCTCTATCAGGGAATAAATATAGGGGTGGGAGCCCATGAGCTGGGACCTTGGTTGGGTGTGTGTGTAGCAGGGAGCAGCTTGGCTAAGCAGGGGACAGGAAGATGGGGTGTCAGTGCGCCTGCCCAGGGCCACCAGGAAGGATGCTGGGGGACAGACCTGGGGCTCCTTTGCCCCAAGGTCAGAGGACAGAACAAGTAGCAGCAATAGTTAATTTCAAATGTCCAAACTGGCATGGCGGGGAGGTGGGTGGGGAGGCCCTCCAGGTTGGTGGCGCCCCTGCCCCGACCACGGCTGACTCCTGTTCTATTTATTACCCAGGATGCTGTTCTTCTGGCAGCCGCAGTGGGAGAGGCAGGAAGAGGGTGCTGAAGAGTGCGCCAAAGGAGGGGGCACCTCTCTTCCTGCCTCCCCAGCTCGATGGCCTGACCTCCAACTGAAAGGGTCTGGAAGGAACGAGGGAAGGGGGCGGTTGAGAACTTCACAAGCAAACACTGCAGCACAAGCGACACCTAACACTGTAACGGGCATGCAGAGCCCGGCCTCGCCCTGTCCCAGAAGCTGAGCTGGTGGGACCCGGGCAGCGCCTGGAGGGAAGCAGGAGCCAGGAGGGGAGCCCGTCCCCAGGAAGGGTGGGGCCCACTTGGCTTTGGGCAGGGTTTGCCAGGGAGGGGGGCCGGGTAGGGCAAGTACAGGGGCCGCTCGCCCTCCCGGGTTCGCCCTCTCCCATACACAGGTTTCTACCTCCCCTCACCCCCACCCCACGCCCGGGCTGGGCTGAGGCAGGTATGGCCGGAGCACGTTAGACGGTGGCGCTCAGCATGGCCTCCGTCTCTGGCAGGATCTTGTTCTGGTTGGAGTCCAGGCCAAAGAACTTGACGCTGAGGCCGTCCACGGGGTGCAGGACGGGGACCAGGGTGATGCGGGGGAAGGTCCGGGTGGCCAGCTCGAAGCGGCTCGTGCTGGCCAGCTCCACCGCCAGCACCTTCAGGAAGAGCTTGGCCAGGTGCTTGCCCAGGCAGGTCCGGACGCCGCCGCCAAACGGGAGGTAATGGAAGCGGCCGTCCTTGTCCTCGCTCCGTGCCTGACTGAAGCGGTCGGGGTCGAACACGTTCACGTCTTTGAACACGGGTGCTGTGTCGTGAGTATCTCGGATGCTGTACATGACGCTCCAGCCTTTGGGGATCTGGAAACCCTGGAGGGGAGATGGGGGAAGGGGGGTGGGTGGTGAGAGCCAGGGGTGGCCAGAGGAGGCCCCAGGACTCCCTGCCTGCCTGTCCCCAACCCCAGATGTTCAAGATCTGCCTCTTCCTAGAGACACCTGACTGTCACCCCCAGGCCCGGCCAGCCTCCCTGCTCAGCATGTTAGTCCCGGCTTATTTATAGCTGTTCACATGTGACACTCGGGTTGGCTTCCTCTGACTCTGCATTTGGGGCCACATCGCTCCCATCAGACTGCAAGCTCCCTGAAAGCAAGCACTGTCCCCCCATCAGACTGAGGTACCCGAACAGAAGGCTGGTCATCCTCATCTGTCAGCCCCAGCCCCCAAAGTGGTGCTCCCAGGGCCCCCCAGCCCGCAGCCCCACAGGGCCCAGCCTCACGTCGAGTTCAAAGGTCTGCAGCACGGTGCGGTAGCCGCCGGAGATGGGTGTGAAGAGGCGCATGACCTCCTTGATGACGCAGTCCAGGTAGCGCAGCCCGCCGAGCGTGTCGAGGTGCAGGGTGCCCTCGCAGGGGCAGCCGCCGCTGTGCAGGATGCCCTGGGCCCGCAGCTCCTCCCGTAGCTTCTCCAGCACGGCGGGGTGCTTCAGCAGCTGCATGATCAGCGAGGTGCTGGCGCTGGCTGTGGTGGCATAGGCCGCGAAGATCAGCTCCAGGGTCCCGTCCTGCAGCGGCAGAGAGGAGAGGCACCATTGGCCAACGGAGTTCAGCCAGGCGGACCTGGCATGAGGACAGGCCCATTCTGCCAGTGTGCCCCATGCCCAGGGTCATCCGTGCTGGGCCATGCTCACTTCCTGCTGTGATTTCTGCTTCCTCTGAGCCGCACGTGCCTGGGCATTGGGGCCACCATGGCACAGGGGTCACAGCCAGCCCCTGGCTGGGCAGGAGACACAACTGCTGTGGCCAGGCAGAGGCACTAGCCTGTTAGTCCCTTGGAGGCAGGGCCACTCCTCATTCACTGCTGGAATCCTGCCAGCCCCAGAGGCCTGATCGACACAGTGAGCTCCCAGAAGAAAAGGAACAAATCCTAGGCACTAGGCACTAGTGTGTGCATGTGTGCAGGAGGACATTGGGTTTAAACCTGGCCTTTCCACTCCCAGCCCCAGCTTCTCCTCCATCCCCAGGAGGAGAAAATCTGGTAGGTGTCAGGGGGGCTGATGGGGTCTGGCAGGCAGCCTGGGGGCACACCCATGAAAACCTGAGATGAGGCTGCAGTGAGAAGGCTGAGGGAAGGTGACCCCTCCTCAGAGAACTTAAAGACCCTCCAGGGCCTTATGGGGAGTAGACATGGGGTGTAGGTACCCCAGGGCAAGGTCCCAGAAGGTCATCTCATTCCAAGCCCCCCATTTCGCAAATGTGGGCTCTGGGCCCAGAGAGGGGAGTGAAGGGTCCTGGTCCTTTACTTGCCATGGCCCCTACCAGTCACAAAACTCATAAAATGGAAGTCATTCCAGCCTTTTCCTGGCTCCCCAGGAAAAAAGCTGGAGCTAGAATACAGGGAGGCAAAGACAGGGGGGATGGGGAGTCTGCAGTGAGTGTCTGTGGGTACCTAGTGAGGAGAGGGACTAACGGAGTCCCCTCAAGTGGGACATGCACCCACAACAGGGCGGGCGGGAAGCCCATCTAGCCGGTGCCGGGCAGGATGGGAGAGCCTGCAAAGTGCCACCAACTTGGAAAGGCTGGGGGTGGAGGAGGTGCACTCAAATGTCCCCTGCTCCTCCCCAAGAGTCCAGGCAGGCCTCAAGCAAGTGGCTTCCCCTTCTGGGCCAGTGCTTCCCTCGGTAGCCTCCAGGGGTTGGGGACCATGAAATGAACTGAGACCCTTCCCAGCCCTGAGCTGCCTGCTGCACTGGCTGCTGGCTGCTGTGGGAAGACAAGGGCAGCCTGTGGCGTCCTACACAGGGGCAGGGATGATTGATCTCTGCTTCCAGTTTTGCCCTCTCCAGCCGCCACTCCAGCCGCCACTCAGAAAGCAGTGCAGAGTGAGGCCAGAGCAGGCAGAAAGGGCAGGCGCCTTTCCCGGGGGGAAGCCCCACCACGGAGCATGGCGCCTGCTGCCCGCTGGGGCAGCCGCAGCCCCCACCTTTAGCTCCTGCATGGTCATCTCCTTCCCGTGCTCCTTGCTGCTCTCGATGAGGATGTCCAGCGCGTCCGAGTAGTCCTTGCCCTGGGTGCACTGCAGCTTCTCCCGGATGGCCTTCTCCAGCCCCTTCTGCAGGGTCTGCCGGGCCTGAATGCCCTGAGGGGAGAAGGAGCCGTCACCATCACCCACACAGCCCACTCTCCCACAGACACCTCTCCCCTCTGTCCGTGTGCCCTGTGCCCGTCTTAGCATGGATGCCCGGCCTCCCCTCCTCCAGGCCCGGGGTCCTCACCCGCCGGTAGCCACTGAAGGGCAAGTCGACAGGCAGGGAGAAGACGTTCTCCACAAATTGCTGGTAGACGTCAAAGAGGTGCCCAAGGTCCTCCTCGGGAATGCTGAAGCCCAGCAGCACCCGGATGGCCATGCGGAAGGTGAGCTTCTGCGCCTCCTGGTACACGTTGATGGCCTCGGGGTGGCTGCTCCAGGCACGCAGCGTGTCCTGGATCACCAGCTGGATCTTGGGCAGGTAGCTCTCCAGAGCCTCATGGCTGAAGATCTTGGAGAAGACCTGGAGTGCAGAGAGGCAGCCGGGTGAGCTGGCAGCATGGCACGCCCTGGCCTGGCCCCGACTCTGCTTGGATGAGGCACCTATCCCATGACTGCACCCAGGGAAAATTCCAGGTCTCACACAATGGCAAAGCCTTAGGGACTGGTCAGTCCAGTTGCCAACAAGTCTGTGGGGGATGTGGCTGTGAGGGGCACAGAGGGGGTTGAGCAGGGCTGGAGCAGGGAGGCTGCCCTTCCACGCAAGGGCACATTCCCGAATCTCAGGACAAGGAGAGAAGCAGAACACAGGTGAGTGGAATGGACGGGGAAGAGGTGGGAAAGCAGTAGGTGGCTCTTCTACTCTATCAATGGGAGAGCAAGAGTATCTTGAGGCTAGACCCCAAGTAGGACTTCCTAGGAACCAAAATTATTCTCACTCCCTGAGAAACACGTACTGGGAGTTTATTAATGGTTACGCCATTAAGATGTCTTCATCGTGGCCAGGTCTAGAGGTAGGGGGATGGGGGCAATGGCTTTCCACCCCACAAGATCATAAAGACAAACAGAAGCCCTTTTAATTCCCTGCGTCTTCCAGGACCATTTTAAGTGGGCAGTGAGTCCCTGCTTCCCTGTCCTCCCGTCTGGCTCAGCAACCCCCTTGCCGCCCTCCTCACGGAGATGCCCCCACACATGGTTTTCATCTGCAGGAGAGGGGAGGATGTCAGTTTATTTACTGACAGCCTGCGGGTCTCACTCATAACCAACAACTTCCATCTCCCCCAGAGCCTGGAGCAGAAGGGGGTGCCCCCCAGCAGCACCAGGGGAAAGGTCCCTGGGAAGGCCGAGAGGGGAGGGGCAGCGCGGGAGCCCCCCACTCTGCCCCGTGCAAACCACACACGCGCACCCGCCCTCCCCTCTGCCCCCCAAACACAACCGCCGCACAAACTGTAAATGTGAGAATTTCCCCTGCAGTCAGCTCGAGGAGGAAAGGTAACATTTTCCTGGCCTGGGCCCTGCATGGCTAATGGGAGGGCTGGTTTGCAGAAATAACAGTGCTGGCCCTTCAGTGGCCCAGCCAGGCACTCACAATAGCACTTTCATTCCGAAATTCCCGGCGGAGAGAGGGAGGGAGGGCAGGAGGCCGGTGAGGGGCAGAGAGGCCCGCACTGTTTGGGGCTGCTCCTGCTACAAAGGGACAGCCGAAAGGCAGAAGGACGATAGGAGGTCACCTAGGTCAACACAGGACTGGATGGGTCACTCACACCTTGCCTAGTTTTGAGGGTAACAGGGAACTTCCAGGAGGGACTCCAGCAGCCCCCTCCCTTCAGAGGGTTATGGATGAAAGCAGAGCTTGTCTACCTCAGCCCCCAACCCTGGTGTCCTCAGGATTCCAGTTTTGGCCCTTGGGCAAAGCATCTTCGGGATGGAGTGGGCCCCCAGAGCCCAGCACTGGCCAACTAAGGGCCCTTACAAAACAGCGAAGAGGCCACACACAGGGTGAGCAGAAAGTGGTACCTGGGAGCTGAGCAGGCTCATCAGGAAACAACACAGAAGGCAGAAAAACTACTCTGCAGCTACCCGGCCTCTGTGGGGAGCTGGAGGTGTGGCAGGAGGAGCCAGCAAGGCCACGCCTGGCCCAGAGCTGGCCAGCCCAGGACAGAGTAGGGGTTCTGTCAAGGAGGGCACAGGGTAGGGTCTGGCCAGGGCTCCCAGACATGGGAAACCTAGGCCCAAAGATGGGTCTGTGGAGGGGGAGAGGGGGCAGAGGCCACGCCCACCAGGCCCAGCCAAAGTCATCGCCGAGATGCAGCCAGGCGATGGGAAAGAGACCAGGCACCCAGAGACCTGAGCTTTGGCCACGAATCCTTCACCAACTAACTTCTTCTGTGATCACAGCGAAGTCCCCACCCCTCCCCCAAGCCTCAGTTTCCTCATCTGTAAAATGCTGACGTTGAACCAGGTTATCGCTGGGGTTGCTTTCACTCCACCAAGCACATGAGCACCACTGTCCACTTGCCCTTAAGTAGACGCTACCCCCGGGGTAGCCCAGAGCCTAGCAATGCTCGAGTCACCTAGAGAGGGCCTACCAGGCCCCACTACACAGCCCACACGGGCCACGGCGGCCCAAGAGGGGCCATCCCGGGGTTTCCCATGGGGAGCGCGGAGGGCGCCCGCCGGCGCTGGCGAGCTCTGCCCTGCCCGTAGGTTGCATTCCCTGCGCCCTCTAGCGACGGCCGGCTGAATCGCTCCTATTCTGGCCTCGGGGGCCAAGAGGGGCAGGGACCACCGAGGAATAGAGAAGGACCAGGACAAGGAACCTGGGAATGAGAGGAAGGACTTCAAGGGCAGGAGACCCACACCGGGCCCTGGGGTGGGAAGAGGTGCTGAGCAATGCTAGGAGCTGGAATGTCCCAAGAAACCCACTGCCACCCTGCACCTTGCAGGCGCTGGGGGCTGGGGACTCTGGAAAGAGAACTGAAGCCGGACCAGGGCCCCTGTCTTGACCAGCCTCTGACTTGCCCAGTGATGGCCCCAGGTCGCTGCCCCCTCTGGAGCTCAGTTTCCCCATGGGTTCATGAGGAGTCCAACTGGATGTTCTGAGGTCCCTTTCCACCTGGCTGTCCCATGATTCTCCTCAGAGCACCCCCGACCCCAGGAGGAGAAACTGCCCAAATGAGAAGCCAGGCAAAGGCAGGTGGTAGGCACTTTGGCCCAAGGGGCTTTGCTCAGAGGTCACTGAGTCCAGGCCCCTGCCTCTGGCCCAGCTGTTCTGCAGGCATTGGGGCCTCCCAGGTGCTGGGAAGACTCCAGGGCCGCATCCCTGGGTTTGTGCCCAGGGTTAACAGCACAGGCACTTCCCAAAGCTGGGAGGCTCAGAAACCACCACCCACCACAAAGGACAGGCGGAGGCAGAGGCAGAGGTGCCGGTAGGGCACAGGAGCCTGGGCCATGTCTGGGCGGGCTGGGTCTGAGGAGCTGCCCGCAGGTCAGGACTTGGGCACACTGGGAAGGTGCCCAGGGAGCAGCTCAGTGTGAAGAGAGGAAGGGTTCCCGGCCCCCAGAGCCGACTTTCCTGACCACAGTCATCACAGAAGCCAGGGCTGCTTTGTTTCCCTCCGGGGCTTCCCTGGGAATTCCCAAAAGTGAGCCAAGAATGCCGGACAAAGGTCACTGGGAACCAGCCCAGGCCCAGGCCACTCCCTGCAGAGGGAGCCTCAGGGCAAGGGCAGGAGGGAGGATGGCTCCCACCTTGAGGGATGTCACCAGTTTCCCCTCAACACAATAAGCTCAAGAGCCCCATCCTGGTTCTCTTCCTCCCTCCAGAATGTGGGCCAATCTCCCAACTAGGGTCTGGTGATACCACCCGGGCTTGTCAAGGCTCTAATGCCCTATAATTGTTTCTACAAATGCTTTCTCCCTCCCAGCTAGCCCTCCCCCATCCCTCCCACCTCTCATCCAATGCCCCTGGGAGGAGGGTCACTCTGAAGCCCATGGCCCTGTGTGCTGTGCCTACTTGGCCAGGTAACCTCCCCCTTCTCCGCTTGTGGCGGTGGATGGACGGTCAAATAGATAGGCAGCCACGGGAGCAGGAAAAACCAGAGAGGGAACCCACTGCCTTGGCCAGTGACTCAGACTGGGAGGAATGGAAGCGGCTGCCCAAGAGGGGTGGGGGCCCCCGGCAGGCCACCCGGCCAAGCCACCGGAGCCGCGGCCTGCAGAGTGGAAAGAATAACAGAGGGCGGGCAGCTGCCGCGGCAGCCATCCGCACAGGGGTGACGCCAAGGTGTGTACTTTACACCCAAGCAAGGGGGGAACAAGAGAGGACGTCATCTTCCCAGCTGCCTGGCATTTCCACTGGGCTTCAGCTTCACCCTGGCCCAGTGGAAATGCCAGGCAGCTTCACCCAGGGTTGTAAATGCCGAAGCCTGGTGTGTGGGGCTGGGCACACTGGTCGGGAGGTGCTGGCCCAGACCCCTGCCACCAGCCTGTGCATGCCCCTTCCCAGCGTTGGTGGCAACGGAGTGCCTGTCCTCTATCTGGCTCTAGCTATAATCATCTCACCTCAAGACCTGCTTCCCACCGCCCCAGCTCCTCCACACACACAGCGAACACCAGGCAGGGCGGGGAGGCAGCACTGGCGGAATCTGGAAGGGTTTGCCCAGACGCTCTCATCCCTCCCTCTTCCTTGGAAAGCTGAGGACCAGAGGGGAAGGGCCCTCCAAGGTCACAGTGCAGGGCATGACTGGCCATAGCCAGCAGAGTCCCTGAAACCCCTGCCTCCCACCACTGCAGACCCCATCGAGCTGCCCTCTGCCAGCCCTGATAGGCTCTGAATTTATCTAAAGGTCCTGAAAATATCCTCCTCTATTGCCTAAGTTTATTCTAAGGATGAGGCTGGCTGTTCTGGCCACTCTGGTTTGTTCTCAGCATTTCCCAGGCCCCTGGAGTCCCTTCCTTTTATGCCTGGGGAACCCAGGATGGACACCGCGGCTGGCACAGAGGCTAGGGCCAGAGCAGACCCCAGCCAAACCTCCCCACTCCCCGCCAAGGCCACATTTGTCTTCAAAGGCTGGGAGAGTAAACAGACACATCAGCATCACAGCCTTGGACCCCTCTCTGCCCTGAGAGAAGGACACAGAAAAGAGGGACAAAGAGAGGTGGTAGCCCCCACGCCCAGCCCGCCCACCAGCCTGCTGCCTGGCACAAGGGCAAGCAGAGGGAGGCACCCACTCCCAGGCGCCCTGGCAGCTGACCATGGGCTCCCTCCCCCGCTGACCTTCAGAGAGATCCGCTCCTGCCACCACCCCCTCAGCAGCCCCTGCGCCCACCGCTGGTGCTACAGTAACTTTTGTGTGAAGGACTTGGGTTGGCAGAACAAAGGCCCTGTGCCTATGCCAGGGGCTGGGGCAGAGCTCCCAGCAGCAGGGCTGCCTGGCCCTGCCACCAGCCTTCCCATCTAGTGCAGGATGGAGCTTCTGAGAACTCCTAGAGCCAGGTGTGGGCCAGCCGACCCCCAGGACCCCACAACCACGGGCACCTGGCCCTGCCCTCCTGCTCTCTCCATCCCAGGATGCACAGGGTTTCTGAGAGGAGTGTGATGACCCTGAGCCTGACCTCTACCCTCACTCCAGGACGGGGCCCAAAGGCCAGGTCAGTGAGGGATGGTGGGGGGGCAGGCAGGGCTTCTTGATCCCCACCTCCAAAGCCTGTTCCCCCACCTCTGCCTCAGGCACCCAGGCCCTGCAGGCAGGGGTCTGAGTAGAAAGGGCAAGATGACCATTCCTGGGGGCTCCCCAGTCCAGGGACTCCAAGACTAAGTGTTGTCCCTGAGATATTCTCCAAGTTCCCGGAGGGCGTCTCAGAGGCACTGTCCAGGATGTCCTGAAGGAGATGGCCTCTTGGCACAAAGAGGCCTGGCCCTATCTCTAAAGGGAAAGAGGAAATGCCTAATCCTGGTGTGTGGGGCTGGGTGTTGGAAGCTTCTAGAACTATCCCCCGACTCCTCCATGTCTCTGACAACCCTTTCACCCCCACCTTCCTAACTGGATTCCATCCACCCTTGAAGGGTAATACCAGCCTCTCTATACACAAAGAGAGATGGGGTTCCTCCCCCATCCACCAGAGACATCCCAGGCCCTGGGTGGGGGAGGGGTAACCAAGGAGGAGGGAGTCTGAGGCCCTGGCTGTAGTGACACAGGCCTGGCTTCCAGAGATGATTCTGTTAGACTGGGCAAGACTTTCTGGACTTTTTCCCTGGCAACCCCACCCTGCTGGCCCTAGACCACCAGGGCAGCCAGGGCAAAACACCTGGCGTGCAGTGATGGCAGTGAGGAGCCCCTTCCCAGCACATCTGGCCAGACCTCCCAGAGAAGGGGTGGGCCACCAGCCCCAATGGAAACAGTGACGCTTCTAGTTCCCCACCAGCCGGGCCCCAACATACCTGGGCCCCACTTCCTGCACGTACCTCCTAAGCAGGCTCGGCCTGGCCCAGCAGCCCACACTCCAGCCAGGCCCCTGACTGCAGCATGGGCTGGATAGGGCAGTGGGAGAGGCACACAGCAGCCCCCACCTTGGCCACAGAGTCCACCAGGTACTGGATCCAGCAGACTGGCCATTCTCTCCAGGACCCACGTAGACATATATTTAGAAAGAGAGCCCCTGAGGATTCTTATCCCTCCAGCCACGCTACTTCTTGAGGGTGAGGATCAAGTTTCCCACTTCTATGTACCTAACCCCAGGCCTCCCAGGCCTTCCGTGTAGTCCAGTAAAGTTAGGTTTAGAGATCATCCATCAGAGAGACTGGGGGGGGGGGTAGGATCCTTTTGTCTAGCTGACTACCCATTTACCACACAACACACACACATGCACCCCACATAGCAAGCACACAATCAGTACACACAAAGAGACGGCCCCTGGATTTGGTTCTCAAGCCCCTCTGCCAGCATGAACTGGCTTCTGGCGACTCTATACCCTTAAGGAGCCAGAGGGCCAGGTGCTGCGTGCAAATAGGGAGACCATCTGCAGCTAGCCCAGGGTCCTCAGTCTCTGCCCCCATCCCGGCCTTATTCCTATCCCACCTTCTTCCTTCCCTACATACTCCTAGGGGACTGTTCGTCAGTGCTCTCCCTTTCCTCCTTCCCTCCCCTGCAAATGGACATTATAGGCCAAAACCTTGGGGCTTTCCAGACAGGCCCTCCCCAGCCGGCACCTGGAGGCCCAAGGCTAAGTCAGGCAGAGGGTGGGTGGAACCCCAAGGCCTCAGGGTCTCTCACTCTGGTCCTGGCCAAGCCTTTCTCCTAGCACTCTCTACCCACCCCAGCTGCTGGCAGCCCCCAGCCAGCAGGACTGAGTAGGGTTCTTATGTGGTGGCCCAGAAACAACTATTCCCATGGAAGCGGAAGGCCTCTGTTGCAGGCTCTACACTGCCTTTTCCTTGCTTCCTGACTGGGTTCAAGTCTCCATCAACCTCTCCAAGGCTTCTGTGAAAGGGGACAATAATTCCTTTCTTGTCAAAGGCTCTACAAAGATGAAACGAGAAAGCAAGCAGCCATCTGCTCTGGAGCTGGATCCCTGAGTCTCAGTTGTCTCCTCAAGCTGTGGAATGGGCCTTTGGTGGTGCCACCAAGACTAAGGGAGAAATAACTGTCCAACACAGTCAAAAAGCCTCATTCCTAGACCCACGGCCCCTCCCAGCCACTCCCCAGAACACCTGCCCCCCAAGCCCCATCGGTCCCCAGGCTGTGTTAACTGCCTCCAGCTCTGAGTGAGGCAGATGGAAGAGATGACTTTGGGAGCCCTTTTCCAGTTCCTGAAATACGCGCCTTATTAGGGAACTGGGGTGGGTGGGGGAGGCACGAAAAGATTTTCCTTCTTTTGTCTGCCATGGAGAATTACTCTTCGCAGGCTGTTCAGAGAACATCAAATACTACAGGATGCGTCAGCGAGCAGCACAATCCCCCACGGCCACTTCGCACATGGACTCCTGGCCCAGGGAGCTGCCCCCTCCCTCTCCCGGACGCGAGCCCATCCACTGTTCGGGAGATGAGAGGCTGCCTCTCCTCTCCTTCAGGTTTCAACCCCGGATGAGTCCTCTGACCCAACGGAAAAAAATGGAGTGGAGGAGGTCGTGCAGCCTCCCTCCTGGCGGCTTCAAGCCCGCAGGCCGGCGCCCCGCCCGCCCGCCGGCTCAGCTTTCGGGTTACTGCAGTTCAAACAGCACGTGCCGGCCGCGCTCCGAGCGCGGCGGCGGCGGCGCGGCCCAGAGGGGGCGGGGAGGCTTGCTCCGTGCGCGCTGGCTCGCCGCCTCCGCGCCTCTTCCAGTCGCTCGGGAAATCCACAGGATAAACACCCACTTTCTCTTCCTCTTTGTGTGTGGAGGGGTGCGCTTTGATCCCCGCCCGCGCCTCGGCTGCTACCCCACCCCTTGCCTGCACCCCAGTGTCCAGGCCGGTGCTCACGGCGGTCCAAAGCTCCCCTCACGTCTCCCTGACCAGGCCCCGCAACAGGGCCCACGAGGCGCCCTCACCCCTCAGCCCCGCGCCTGTCCGCGTCTCCCTTAAAGCAACCTGTGGTAGGAGGGCCAAGTTTGATTTTAGGATGAATTCCTGGGGGAAACTGGTGAAAAGGAAAGGGCGCTGACCAGCTGTCCCGCTCCCTTCTTTTTCCAGTTATGTGGAGCACAGCAAGGACAGGCGGTGGACACCTCAGACCCCGCACTTTCAAGCTCTGTCCAAAGCAACCTGGCTGGCGGTGTCCACCGCGCAGTGGGCCAGCAGGAGGGTGGACCAGTAGGAGGCCTGTGCAGGCCCTGGATCCAGGCTCAAAGTCCTCTAGACGGGGGAACTACGGGGTCCTCAAGCACGGTGCGCAAAGGGGGAACGTTGATTCGGGTGGGGACGTGCTGTGGATGCCCATGAACTTCTTTCACCGAGGGAGGGAGGAGTGTAGAGTTCTTACCTTGCGCTTGTTGCGGTGGATGTCGCCGATAGAGTTGGCCACCGTGTTAGGCCCCAGAAGCATGCGCGTGCTTCGAGGCCACTCGGTGCTCACGAGGTGGTGCTCGCCCATGAGGATCTTGCGCACGTTTTCCGCGCCCGTCACGCGTATCAGCGGCCGCCCCAGCAAATGCGTCTTGAACACGTTGCCATACTTCTCCCTCCGCGACGACTGGAAGCCAGAACCCTGCAGGAGCCACACAAGGGACCTCTCTAAGGGTGCACGTCTCCAGAGAGCTCGCGGGGGAGGGGTAGCGGCCTCCAACTCGGGGCACCAGCCACCTGCCCCTCCCCCACCAAGTACACAGACACGCACGCAGGTTTTATTTTTCACGGCGTGCACAAGAACTGGGAAGTAGGGCCTAGAGAGGATAATAAATAATGCAAGGAGGCGGGAGGCCCAGGGGCACCCCCAGGAGGCTGTTTTTCAGTAATGACTTTCGGGAGGGAAAAGGTATCCCGGACAGCTGGACCTAAAGCTAAAGTCTCCAACCCCCACCTTCCCACCCCCACCCAGCGCTTGGAGCCTCTCGGAATAAATATTTCCAGGCTCCGGGCCACGGGCTGGCGAGACCCCGCGGGGTGGCCGCAGGCCAAAGATTATTTATAGCGGTGAGCGGTCGGTGCCCAGAGGCAGTCACTACAGATGGGGGGGGGGGTGGTTCCTCCGTTCTCCGGTGTGGCCTGCGCAGGGACCCGGCAGCTCTCCGAGAGCTCTGCGAGGTGGGGTCACGGGCCCACAGCCGCGGTTTCCCTAAAGCATTTTGCCCTGGAAATAACTGAGGCGGACTTTCGTGGCCGCCGGGGAGTTTGGTGTGGGAGCGCGGCGGACGGCGCTTCCCGCGGGGCGGGCAGACCCGGCGGGGCGACCCGCGCAGGTAACCGGATCCCGGCGGCGGAGGCGGCGGCGCTAGTCGAGAATGGCGGGGCCCTGGCCGGGTCTAACGCTCCAAACAGCAGGCGCAGCCCGCCCGGCGCGAGTACCGGAAGCCGAGGGGACCTCAGAGGGGCGGGGGCAGGGGCGCCCCGCTCACCTTTGACGTCGCGCTCGCTACCCCACCCCACGTTAACCCTTCTTCTGCCAGGGCAGCACTGAGTGAGAAGGGGAGGACTGCCACCTGTCCAGTCTCCGCCTGCCCGCCAACAGAAGTACGGACGTATCCAGCCACGCACCCCCGAGCGGACAGCTCGGCTCCCCCTCTCCTGGATTGGTCCCCCTCCTCACTTTCCTTTCTTTCACGGAAAACTATTCTCCAGCTAGATGTGTACACACCCCAGCACAGCCGAAAAGTGACTCTGCAGAACTCGGATTCCCTAATCACTTTTCCACATGCGCCTCGGGCCCGGCTCGCGACAGGGAACGAGCCGGGAACCGCCGCGCCGCCAGGAGGGGGGCCGGGCCGCGGGGCATGCTGCCCGGCTCCCAGGCGGGAGGGTGGGGGGAGCTGCCCCAACTGCGCAGCCGTCCGAGACGGCCTGTACCCCTTTAAGAAAAATCAAGGTGGAGGTGGGGTGCGACAAGGAGGGGGCGAGGAGCGGGGTTCCCTCCTTTCGTCTGCTACACGCGTCTCCCGCCTCGGTCTGACCCTCCGTCTCTCCTCTCCTTCTTTTCCTCTGTTATTCTTTTCTTTCAACACAAAAGTTGGGCTGTGAATTTTCCGAGGTCGCCGCCGCCTCGCCCCCACCCCCTGCCTCTGATCTGCCTAACTGTAATTAAAGTGCGTTTTTTGTGGCATTAATAAAGAGTTATTTGTCCGCTGTTTCCATGGTCTTCACAAAGAGGACTTTCATAGGGGCGGCCGCTCGGGCCGCGAGTCCAATTTATACAAAAATGTTGTATTTTTAGCCCTGGGCTCTGTTTAGATGGCGCTCGGTGGAAACGGAGAGCCCTTGGAGGTCCCCCCGTAAAATCTGATAAATGACTCCGAAGAAATAACGCTAGGATTCAGAGGGCTCTCATTAACTCCTTCGGCGCTCCCGGCACGCACCCCCTTATTTCCCTCCACCTACGCGACCTAGGGCCCCCGTTGTATGGATGAGAGGAGCAGGTTCCCCCCTCCCCAACTTCTGTGTTGGCTGGACGCGGCCCCCCAGGGGCCTTTGTGAGATAAGGAGAAAAAGGTCAGGGGGACCTTGAGGGGGGCAGATAAAGGTCAGGAAACGGGGTGGGGGGGCGGTGACAGACCGTGGATTCCGCAGACTGGCTGCAACAAGGCGGGAGCCGTTGCCCGAGTTATTTTATTTCCTAAATTGGCGGCCAAAAGCCTAAACCACCGCCACAGTTAACCCTTTAAGTGTGGTGGCAAGGGGGAGGCTCTGGGGATTTCTTTGCGGGGAGGAGTAGTCGGATTGGTTGAAGCGAACCCCACCCCATTGCACGAATAACCCCAAAACGATACAGGGCCGACTCCGGGACAGGGAAAGGCCACAGGACGGAGGAAGCTCGCGTCCTCCTCCCCGCCCCCGCTCCGCTGTCATTAGGCCGGGGGCGGGGCGGGGCGCGCGCGCGCGGATTGCACGCGTCTGTTAATTTCAAGCCAAGCTTTCGCACCTCTAAACCCTCAGGTCCGCGCTCACCTTTCGCTCCACCTCTCCAGTGCCGGAATCGTCTGTTTCTAGACATCCATGCTCCCCCTCATCCTCATCATGACCCATCGGACAAACTCGCTTGCACACGTACACACGAACACAGCTCCCGCGGTAACCCCAGAGGCGCCCCCACCCCCAAGAAAAACCCGGTGTGTATCAAATTGCAAAAGCGATTGTCTAGCACTTGATGAGGTTAACTCCAGGTTAACCTCCCCATTACCTACCTGGGTCTGGTCCCTAACGCGTCCCACCCCCATTTTCACCAGCAGAGTGAGGTTGTGCAGCGTCTAACAAGCACACACCTCTCCCAAGTTTCTCTCCTGCTAAACTGTCCCCACCCAATAAGTAAACAGACCCTTTTCCCCGAAAGCCGAGAGCCCTCTGGTCTCTGGCTTCTCATTTTCCTCGGGTTACCTTCTTCCTCTTCCACCACAAAACATAACACTGGAGCGAACCGCGGACCGGGGCAGTAGTACCTGGAGCAGCAGGCTACGCAGCAGTAGTTTTAAAGGGGCAATTCAAGCTGCCACCCACCCCATCCTACTCTCCTGAGTCAGTTTTCGGCTCCCAGCGACACAGCCAAAGCGCAGGAAGCCGACGGCGACGGGGGCGTGGAGCGCGAAGGGGAGGCAAAAGCAGCTCAGGACCCGACGTCCCCTCGGACTCGCACGCCGGGAGCCCCCAGGGCGCTCCACGCACCCCTGCTAGGCCGCCCACGACCGGGGCAAGTCATTCCTGGGAGCTCCCTCTGGTCCGGGAACCCCTCTCACCAGCTCTCTGAACCTGCTCACCGGGCGCCAGTGGTCTCCGAACCAGGCTGCGGGCGGGCAGAGGAAGCCCGGGCGGTTGAGTCTGGGAGGAGGGAAGGGGCGGGGCGGGGACCAGTGTCTTCAGGCTCCCGGCGCCCCCTGGCCGGCCCGCGGCTCCGTCGGCCCGAGCTCGCAGCTAGCGGACCCCGGAGAGCAGCGGAGAGCGCGCGCCCTTACCTGTAGCAGCCAGTGGCCGGTCTCTCCGATGAGCGGGAAGCCCATGGAACCCTTGGGGATGGGCAGCTTGCAGCTCTTGTCGCGGGTGGCAGCCCAGCGCAGCTGCCACAGCTGCTGCGACACGGCCAGTAGCAGCGTCACGGACACCAGGCACGCGGCGAGGGTGGCCAGCGCCGACACCAGCTCCAAGCCCTCAAAGAGCATGTTGGCGGCCGCTCGCTCGGGGGATTGGCTGCGCTGGCCCCGGCGGGGGAGGGGAGGGCCGGACGGGAGGGGACTGGAGCGGCGGGGGAAGGGAGGCTGCGGCCGGGGGTCCCAGCACCTCCAGCCGAAACAGAGGAGAAGGAAGGGGCCGAGGGAAGGGGAGTGGAGGCTGCAAGGGGAGCGGAGAGAGGGAGAAAAAATGCCTAAAAGAAGAGAGAAAGGAGACACGAGGCAACTGGGGTGTAACTTTGTTTGTTTGTTTGTTTGTTCCTTTATAGCGGGCTTAGGGGCTGCTCAAGGGGTGGTGAGATGAAGCCGTGAATCAAGCTGGTGGATTTGCTCTCCCCGCAACCATCACACTCGGAAAACTTTGGAAAACTTTGTCCAGCAGGAGCCTCTTTCTCGTAAGCCCCTTCCCCTGCTTGGAAAAAAAAAGAAGGGGGGTAGAGAGCTAGTGGAGAGAAAGTGCGATTTGTCAAAAGTATTCCCCCAAAATTCCTAGGGGGGGAAAGGGGAGAAAAATCCTGAATGCAAAAATTCCAACGAACCCAGAAACTTTGGGGGCGAGGCGAGTGGAGAGGCCCGAGCCCAGCGTTCTGGGCAGCCCCAGGCGGCGCGCCCGAGCCTCAGAGACGCCGCGGCACCCCGAGGCGGGCGAGGCGGGCGCGGCGGGCGAGGCGGCGAGGCGGGCGCAGCGACCGGAGCGCGGGTGCGGAGCCGGCGGGCCGCGGCCGGGACGGGACGCAGCCGGCGACAGAGCCCCGGGCGGGCGATGGGGCGGCGGCAGCGGCGGCGGCGGCGGGCGGGAGGGGTGAGGCGGGGTGGGGTTGGAGGAGGAGGTGGAAAACCCGAGCTGGGCTATTGTATCAATTAAGAAAAGGCAGTCCGTCCCGGGACGCGGTCTCTCGGCTCTGGAGTTGCTGCTGGGGGAAGAAAGGGGGGAAAAGGAAAGGAAGGCAAGAGGAATGAAAGAGGGGAAAGGCAGGAGGCAGGATTTCAGGGCTGGTGGTTTTAAAAGCTTCTCTCAATGTGAATTTGCGTCCTAAGCGAGCCAATGCGTGTGTTTATATAGAGGCGGGAGGCTGCCAGCATCCCCCCACCCTCGGCGCTCACAAAAGCTGGAGGCGTGGTGAGAGGCCGGCCCGCGGCCGGAGCGTGTGAGCGCAGGCCGGCCTCCCGCCCCGCCCCGGCCGCCCGCCGCCCGCCGCCCGCCCGGGACCCACTTGTAGCCGCCGCAGGATCAAACTCAGTTCACCTCTCGCCTCCTCTTCTTTCTCGCCGGCGTCTCGCTGAGCCCAGCACCTACAGACGGACGAGATGAGACACACGCGCGCGCGAACACACACACACTCACAGTGCGCACACGCTTAGTGCCCGCTCGGCTGCTAGGCTACTTCCCTCCCTCCCAGGTCACTAGCCCCCTCCTCCCGCTCCGGGCAGTCCCGCGTGGGCCGTAGCCCGGGCAGCAGAGGTCCTGGCCAGACCATCCCCTTGACGGGGGGGGGGCAGGGGGGCGACAGCCAAAGCCCCTGAACCTAGGGGCTAGGGTCTTACCCTAGGGTCCCGAACTTCCAACCGGCTGGCTCTTATCTCCCGGAACCCCTCATTTGCTGTCCCAATCCCTTCCTACCGCAGTCCCCCATCCCGAACCCTACATCCCCAAACCTCAGATCCCACGGTACTCCCCCACATATGTCTCTTCCCTGCAGGACCCTGGGGTTGCCGGTCCGCGTCCGCGTCCCGGGCTGCTAACTCTGCAGCCCCTCCCCTCGAACACCTGGAGACCTCCTCCCGTTTGCAGTCCCTGTCCACGGCCCGCAGCGACTGAGGACGCCCCGATGCTGGTCCCGGCGAGTGTCTCTCGCCCGGACAAATGCGGCGGCCCGGGTACCCAGAGGCGGGAAGAGAAGGGTACAAAGGTTCATTGATACAAATGAGTAAATAAACATGCCGAGTGAGCGCGGCCACCTTTCAGCGCTGGTCGCAGAGGGCCCGGCGCGCGTGCCTGTGTGAGGTGTGCGTGTGGCCCGGGGCCGCATCTGTGTGTGCGCGCGCGTGTCCTTGCGTCGGCCCAAAGTCTGGGTAGTGAGGTGTGTCTGCGGGGGTGTGTGTTCTCTCTAGAGCCGTGTGTCTGTGTATCCACGCATGTGTCTGTCCTCTGGCCTGTCCTAGGAACCTGTGTTAACACGGAGCTATGCGTAGCAGCCCGACATCTGTCTGTCTAGCTAACGCCCGGATCCCGCTCGCGCGCATCCCGTTCCCAGCTGCCTTGGCTCTGCCGCGCTCTCTCGCACTGCCGGAGCCAAAGATAGCCCACCTTTAGTTGAGGGTGGTATGTGTGTAAACCAAATGAGATTCTCCTTTTAACACCTCCCCTGCACCCAGGACGAGTTCTGCTTTAGTGTTTACTAGAAGACAGTGTGTGTGAGCGCCTAAGGCGCGCGCATATGTGGTGTCCCTCGCTGTGTGAGCGCTTCCGAGGCTGATGTGGCCGGAGATGTAAAGGCTGGTCTCTAGCTCCCAGCGCTGGGTCATCGCGGCTCTCACTCTCTGCCCTGGAACCCCACCTGGTGGACAGTTTTAGTACTACAGATTCGGGGGAAGTAAATCCCTCTCCCCCTTTTCTCATTCACGTTTCCTAGCGGGACATCAGCTCCCAAGGGCCTACTTGTAGGCTCCCAAAGGACTCCACTCCCGCCTCAGTGCCCTCAGACTTCCACCACAGGTCTCTTGGGGCCTGGACATTCACAAAGTCCCTGTCAGGACCACTTTGCCCCCAGAAATAGAGAGATGGGGAGCACCCTGTCAGGCAGGGAGGTTTCACAGGACAGTCAAATCTGGACCAGACTCCCAGAGTGGTGAGGCTAGCACCACCCTACTCCCTATCCGAGGATGAAGCTGGAGTAAAATGAGGCTGGGGGAGATTGCTGAGGCCCTGCTGTCTTGAAGAGCCCCAAGAATCTAGCCCGACCCTGGGACACAGCACTGACCACAGGGTGGTGAACAGGCCAGGTGACCCTGGGGCACCCTCCCATGGAGAGATCCGTCTCTGAAAGGGTGGACACACATGCAGCTTTACGGAGATGCGAACAGATGCGCAGGCTGATACTGAGCACGCACAAAAGCAAAGTACACAGAATGGGAGGATCATTGCCAGAGTCACAAAACACCCGCCTCCCAGCCACCAACCCAAGAGCTCACAGGAGATGTCTGCTCTGTAGGGATCACAGAAGTCCCCCCACACTCCAGTTGCCTTCCCAGACCCTCTTACTCCCCTGGCTTTTGTGCCCCTTTGTCGTCCACTGCCTCTCTTCCCGTTCAGGTGTGGAGTGGGAGTGGGGAGGGGAAACGCGGGAGAAATTCTGAGTCTTTCTCATTGCTCAGCTGCCAAGTGGGGGCCCGGGCAATATCCACAGGGACAGCATGGTCCCACAGCAATAGTTGCTGTGTTTCCTAATTGGAACCATCTCTTTGCTCAAGCCCCAAAGAGTACTTAGGAAAAAAGGAAAGGAAAGCCATGCTATTATAATTCTGTAAGATTTCCTGGAGGTGCTGTGGAGAAGAGTGCTGGAGCCATGACTTGCTAAGAAGGTGGCTAGGACAGAGAAAGGTCAGCAGCCAGCTTTGCCAGTCAGATTCCAACAGAGGACATTCCTTTATCAGCCTCAGATGGACTTCTGACTCTGGCCCTGACCCAGACCTCAGTCTGACCCATAACTCCAACCTAAAACACACCCCTTGGTCTAATCCCAGACTGATCCTCAATCCTGGTTACAGATTGACCCTGCCCCTGACCCCAGGCTGAATCCCAGGACTACCAAGCATCACCCAGTCCCACCTTTGGCCACAAGGGTATGACTGGCCCTTTGTGGACTGCACCAGAGCTGGATCACAGCTCAACCCATGAAGCTCTGGGAGCAGGAGTGTGCACTAGGACAGAACATTTTTCTCATTCTGGCTTTAGAATGATCTGCCTGTTCCCCGGTGAGCATCTCTCTTCCTCCAGGCTGGCTGTAGCTAATATCACAGGAACTCCTAGACACCCCCACACATGCACAACCCTTTCCCATGGGCGCAGGGCACACCCCTGGGCTTCAGCTATTGCCTGTAGTGCTGGGAAGCCTCAATCCAGGGCTTGCCAAGCACGTCCCTGTAGCTCTTCAGGCACTTTGAAACCAGTCAGAGCAGCCTGGGAGACCAGTCAGGGGATGCTGGTTCAAGTGCAGTTCTGCCTGGATGGCATTTGCAGTCCCTGGCAGAAAGGGCCAGGAGACAGGCCTCAGGCACTCCTGGAATACGCAGACAGTGGGCAAGGCGCAGCCTCTGCACCCTCTTCCTGGGCTCAGAAAACACCCATGCACAGGGACAGGCACCTAAAGTCCTGCTCCTTGCCAAGGCACAAAGCTGCCCAGGAGTGCTGTCTGCCCTGTGCTTGCTACACCCAAAGGAATGAAGACAGCATGCCTTCAAGTCCCTTACATGTGTGCAGTCCTGTATTGCCAACAAATCTCCTTCACAGCTATTACTATATTTCATCTCCACAGCAGCCCTGTGAGACAGCACTATTTTTAGGTATTAGATTTACATATTACTTTTTGTATTGATGAGAAAACTGAGGCCCAGAATCTCCCCTCTGCCTCCCCATTGTATTGTCCTGTTCCTTCTTCCACCAAACCAGCACCTGTCCCCATGAGCCATGAGATCCTGTCCCACACAGTGGCTCCCCCTTTGTTTAATGGTCTGTGCTTCTGAAAGCTAAAGCTGACAACAGAGGAAAGTATCAATTTTACACTCAATTTTGCATAGTTTTGGCCCTGAATTTTTTCCATTGATGCTTATTTACTTTCTTTTCCCTAAAACCACCTTTGATTCCTCCAACCAGAGCCAAACAGAAAGGGGAGACGGGGAAGCCCAGGATAAAGGTGGGGGTGGCCTCTTGAGCCTATAGGCCAGAGTGTCCAGACAGCAAAGAGACCAGGGCTGGTGGGCAGGAAGCAGGGCTGTGTATTCAGGACCAACAGAGTTTGCACAAGGTCTTCCTGGCCTCTTGTC